TATGGCGCCTTGCCTTCACCGGGGCAACTGTTGCTACCCTCCGCTCATGTCGCCGCCTTCTGCTAAATCCTGATTGGCTGAGGCGGGAGGCGGTCGTGACGTCAGGAGAATTGCTGATCGCTCATTAGTTGCTACTCGATCTGTCACCAAACGTCAAAAGACCACATCTATCTTTTTAATAGACAGACCAACCAACAGTTGCCTGGGAAATAACTCTAAAATCGATTTAATCACCATTATGTAATCATGCTCAGTACAGTGGTACAAAGGTTTTGAGCCAACACACATAGTGTTTCTTATATTTTGGCAAAATCATGGGCCAAAATATCTTTCTGTAAGCTCTTTTAAAAAAGTTTTTAGCACTGATCTACTCATTATTCAAGTGAAGTGTATCAATAGACAACTTGGTAAAAAATATATGTTCTCAGTTATATATTTAGGTATTTTCTTTCGTGTAACCAAATCTAAAGACCTATTATTTGATATCCTACCTACCCTACCCATTATTTGAGACCTATAATTTGATACCCTCTTATTCAATCCCTCAATAGTGTATTAACTATTATACGATGTCAAAGCAAGAAACAGTTACTAAAAACTTGTCATTTCTCAGGACATTGTGCATGTATGTCCTTGAAGAACATTAGAGGAAACTGGGCATGTGGTAGATTAAAGTGACAGACCAACACTAGCAGATGAGCAGCACCTGAAAAGGAATTTCTTTAAAAATATGACACAGGACCTGAGAGATCCATCCGGACCGACAGCTGATTCCTTTTCTGTTGCCCAAGCAGCCTCAGAAACCTTAACTAAGAAATAAAGGGAGAAAAAACAGAACAAACGACAGATAAAATACAAACTAGAGCAGTGAGCTGTACTTCAATAAGCCTGGAGAACTAGCGCTTGTCTTTTTCATGCTGTTTTATGTTTCCTTATGAAACATGATGCCTAACAAATATGGAATATTCATAAGTTATTTGTTGTCTATTGATCCGTCAGTGTATTAATTCACAAAAAAATATTTTCAATATACCGCGTCACCAGGCCGTTGCATCCAAGTAATCATTGGATGGTCACCATCCAATGGGCAGAGGAGCAGATAGCGAGACAAAGATTTTACAGATATACAGCAACACCCAAACGGTGTTTGAGACAGAAAGGCCAGCGAAAGGTCACAGGTGATGAGATTTCAAAGACCTCTGTTGACATCATCTCCAGCATCATTTACAAGTTACTATAATTTTTTCCTCTTCGTCGTGGCATTGTTGTCGCTAAAGGTCTCCCGCCTTATCTCTGGGCATGGCGATAAGCGGAGGTGAGTTGAGGTCCTTCTCTGAGGCCTATATAAGTTGAGGGGCTGTCCATCAGGACAGACAGACCACATCCGTCAGCTCACCATGTGGAAGGCAGCTCTCCTGACCTTTGGCCTGCTGGTGGCGCTGGTGGACACAGTCCGGGGCAACGATGTCCACCCTTCGTTCTACGGGGTGAAGCTCTGTGGAAGAGAGTTCATACGCGCCGTCATCTTTACCTGCGGAGGCTCTCGCTGGAGGAGAAGTTTAGTAGAATCAGGTAAGGCCGTATTACAAAGTTATTAGACAGACTTAGGGCGGCACGGTGGTGTGGTGGTTAGCACTGTCGCCTCCCAGCAAGAGGGTTCTGGGTTCGAATCCCGGGGGAACCAGGACCTTTCTGGGTGGAGTTTGCATGTTCTCCTGTGTCTGTGGGTTCTCTCCGGGTTCTCCGGCTTCCTCCCACCGTCCAAAAACCTGCATGTTAGGCTGATTGGAGATTGGGGAAATTGCCCTTAGGAGTGAATGTGAGTGGTTGTTGGTCCTTGTGTGTCTCTGTGTGGCCCTGTGATGGACTGGGGACTGTCCAGGGTGTACCCTGCCTCTCGCCCGTTGACCACTGGGATAGGCTCCAGTCCCCCCCCGCGACCCCATGAGGGAATAAGCGGTATTGATAATGGATGGATGGATGGATGGATAGACAGACTTAGACAGTACTTTATTGATCCCTTGGGAAGTCTCCCAAATTAAGGTTACCAGAAGATACTTTCTTCAGAACAAAAAGAATACATTGGTAAAGCGGTTGCGGGAAGAGGGAGAAAAAAAGGCTCACTGTTACAGGGGACGTAACAGTGATTTAAAAAACACCTCGTACACTAAAGCACAGATACAGTCCAAATGTGCCATGTTATCCTTCAATAGAACCATAAAATTAAATGTATTCTAACTCTTTTCCTTCAGCTCCTGCTGGCGAGGAGATCTTTGATCCATGGAAGACAAACACCGTCCCTCAACTGACCAGTGAACAGGATCCAACAAAGGCCCAAGCATGGAAACGACAGATGTTGGACGTGGCCTCCCTGGCGGCTGGATTCAGCCGCCCGGCTCCCTCGGCAGATTCGGAGGAGGTGATGGAGGCTCTGAAGAGCGAGGACAGGAAGCAGCGGGACGCGGTGGTCGGACTGTCCAATGCTTGCTGCAAGTGGGGCTGCAGCAAGAGTGAGATCAGCTCTCTGTGCTGAGACCGGTCTCTTCTTGTCTTGTCGACAATGGAACTCTGCTCTTTTCCCGTGTATTTTTTCCTACCTTTAAATGCAGAGTGTTGAAAATTTCACATTGATACGGAAAACTATCTGTGTTTATTGTTGACATAAATTGATATCAATTGTGACTCAGTTTGACAATGTTTTATGTAGGTTTTTTGAGTGTCTTGGCTCTAAAATTTTATTTCATAATGTTACAAAACTTCCACTTACTGTAAATCCCATTTCACAAGTTCAATACTGTCAACAGTTTTGAAATAAAGGAAGCAATGACGACTGTACAGAGTTGTGGGTTTTGAATATGCACCGATTTTATAGGGAGACACCATATTTCGCAATATGACATATTTGAAACGCAGTGATTTTGTAACTTTTGTAACTAAGACACTTTGTCTGCTTTGTTCATTATTGTTCACTGTAGTTTTCAACATTATAAATTAATCAATTGATCATGTTTGTAGTTATACTGAGACATGATAAAATAGATAATACCGAGTTTGACAAACTGATTTCTTCCCGTGCCTTCAGAGCTGTATTTTTCCCTTTCCATAGGGTCCACACCCTTCTTTCTCCACATAAATGGGCATGCTGGTAGGCTCAAACCAGCACCATCTGGTGGCCAAACAGGAAACAGAAATTGTCACACAAATAACGTCTGTTTGGATGATTAAACGCGCATCACGTGCTTATTATTTTAAATAACTTGTTTAAATACAAAAATCCACACTTAAAGACATATTGAGATACATCTGTAACTCTTAAAAGAGCTTTATTTACAGTTCTCATAACAGTGTTTTTAGTACGGCAACAAATGAGGATCAAACTAATCACCCGGCTTGATTGCAAAGCATGCAATCTCTGTCATATGCAAGCTAGCGTAGCACCAATACACAGCTACCGAGATTACCATTTTATACAAAGCCTCAGATTGCCGTGATATTTTATTTAATGTTACTTGTTAAAGCGTAACTTCACTTTTGTTTATAAACGTGTGGATCTACCGACTCGGAGAGACCAGGTAAACCC